TGCTGATGCTGATGCTGATGCTGATGCTGATGCTGATGTTGTTCATCTTGATACCAAAATCTACACCAAATAACTGTTTTTTTAATAAACACCCAGTCAATTGATCTGAAACTTCCAGATCCCTTTCCCCTTCTTGTTATAATGGGTCAATCCAGTGCACTGGTGGTTGTCTTAATAACAATGGAGGACGAGGTGAAGGTGGTGTATTGCTGGTTGCACTGCAGCTTCTTTTCTTGCTATTTTCATGACAATTTTTGCTGTTGCTTAGATCTACTGTTTCTTCTAAAGCACTCAGTCAATTGATCTGAGACTTCCAGAACCCCATTCCCTTGGTGGTGTTATGATAATGAAGTTATTCTGGTGGGTGCTGTGTGGACTGCCACTGGAAAGAAGTCGTGTTGTTTAATGGTGCTCAGTCTAATGGGTGTGACAGGTCCCTATGGTTAGGTTGATGAAATGAGAATTTTTTCCTTTTTTTGTGCACAGAGAAATCAACAAGCCAGATATGGTTCTCTTCAGAACTCACATAGCAATGTGCACGCTTTTCTAGCCTTAACAAGCAAGCAAAGATAGCTGCTCACAGCTAAAAACTGGCGCATTTTATTGTACTCATAACCTGATACAGATTCGGTCCACACACTTGCCTTCCTACCTGTACATCGTACTAGTAGAGAGACAAACAGTTCGACGTTCGCTTCCGTTGACAGATAGTCATGGAAAATTTTTTGGCGGTGTGTCTGTTGTTTCTCTCCTCCCGCCCGTTTACTACCAACATTGAAGTCTTGTTTTCAAGTCGCGGAGTAGCATTGAGATTTTTCAGATGGCGTAAGCAATAATTTTGGGATCACGTGGCAGAACTTAACGGAATCAATCAATAAACGAGCAAACTACCGATTCTTAACACTACGACACTGACAACGACTACTTTGCACGTTATTTGAGCACGTGAGATGCTAACAACCGACGTATCTTTCGTTGAAAGCGTAACAACTACCGACGCCTTGACACTATGGTCATCTATTCTGTACCTTAAATAGATAGTGGTAAATCAGACTTTGAGGAAACCAACAACTGTAGCAATGGAGATAGTAYGAGGCATGACCGAAATCATTTACGAATTGTTTATCTGTGGGCACTGTTTAAATCCACGTATTATTATCGTGCCTGGTGCCACTCACGGCATTTATCAACAATAGAGAGGTAACATGCAATGGAAGAAATGATGGTATATGTACATTTGTATTAGGTTTATTTTGTAGTCTATCTATTTGAAACAGTATTCTCTTCTCCTCATAGAGCGTTCGTAAGCAATTCACTCCAACCGGCGTACACTGCACCCCATATTCTGGAACAGTGGACTCCGACAGAGAGGAAATGCACTTTYAGTCATCTTTTACTCCTTGATGGTGATGGCTTTTCCAACTGAAGTTTCTCGCGTCTTGCTGAAGACAAATATTGCAATTATTGGCATCGAATCAATCCGCATTGCAGTTGCAACAACAATCACACGATCAGTCGTTTCAGTTAGTTTTGAATTTTTATCAATTYCATCCCTAAATGCTTATTGACGAAGATCGATCGATTCGACAACGGAATCCTCGTCAAACATTCTAGCRGCTGTGGCCTTGATGTCATCGAAATTGGAGTGGCAGGACGCCATCGCCTTCTGAATATCAAATGTCCCTGTAGGTTTCAGGTTGTTGGCAGTTTCCTGAAAACGCTGGGCCATAATTTCGTACTGAACCTGTTTGTCCATATAATCAGTACACATTCCACAGTAACCGACAACCCAGGAGCTGCAGTTCTTCGAGGCGCCTACCATCGAATCAACMACTGCCGATTTTTGTGAGTGGTTCGATTGTACAGAACGCACATCAGTCTCGTCCGCGGCATGATACAGAGAATGTAATTCCATGGTGATCGTAGCTTTCTGAGGTGTCTGTCGCTACAAAGGAAATAGTAAGGTTTGTAATTTGCAATTGTGATATCAACAGGCAACAAGATGTCGACCTTCTCAACGAATTCAAAGGTTCCCGGCGTGTTCTATGGTTCGTACRGTTTTGTGACAGCGAAGGTTGAGCGCTCCGACAACGGGTTTTGACATYGGTTTTGTGATACTCCACGTTACTGTCGGATACGGCATTTTCTGTTTGAATGGCTGTGACTCTTGTAAAGCCGTTGTYGGAAACCCCACGATTAGGCAGTTGAGCTCCCACGCGACCAAAAGCCGTCCATTGACTTATCGAAATGTCACACATKCGACKAYTTCAGAACATGATTGGTAGTTGACGTTGGCGAACTACCGCGAAATCCCCGCGCGGCTTAACAATTTCACGGAAGTTGATGCCAAAAACAGYATGTTTGTTCAACCCTGTTTCATTTTCTTGCCGGCTCTCTCGGGTTCTTGTTTTCGAGTCGTTCGATAAGACTCAGTTTTCTAACTCGACTTTTAATTTGATCTTTCAAAMTAACTCGTAYTTTAAATGTACTATACAGTTCTGAATAGTATATTTATCTGCTAGGCCTATATTATCGCTTTTAGCTCGCTACCCTACTGCTCGAGTATCCAGGGGAGACCTTTAACAGATGCATCTTTAACGGTTGGCTKGACTTACGATAGTGATAATTAGGACTCRCACACAAAGATTTTGTCACATAGGACAAACCCGATTTGAACTTGTCGAAAGTCTACACGATACACAACACCTCGCCCAGTCGCGTTGAGGTTCTATGAACATAGTTCCCACCACTAGTTTAAGACCCGGTTGCGCTCATTTTATTCATGAAAATTGGTGTACAGTACACACTTTACTCGTATCATAATCGTGAACACTGCCAACGGACAAAAACCCTCTCTACAAAAATCGCACAGACGAAAGCCCATACGTTTGAATTTACTCTCACAAACAACTCGGCGACTCCTCCTCTTACCTTACCCTTCTGTTTTGGACAAGAGGTAACTGTCGAAAGACATTAAAGAAAACACAACATACCGTACGCAAAGTTTACAAGGTAGATTATAATCGAATAACCTACCAAGCTGCAGTAGCAATCTTCACAAAGTACTTTTTTGATGTTTCCTTCCACGATAATCTATCTTTATCCATCGTTCACAAACACAAATCACTATGCCTCAAAAACTCTACAACGAATCATATCATCGGTCTCAAGGAGCTGAAACGGGCGGATCGTCAACCATGTCGTCGGTATCATCAATCAACATGATATCTCCAGCTTCAATGCCATCGGAATTGAACGGAGCTATCGRAGTCGACAGCAACACTGTCGGGCAAACTTTATCGCAATCCGACTGTATCTTTCTTGAAGATCTCAGAGATATCTTGATGTGTCTGAAGGCGCAAGAAGCTTCCTATGAGCGACGAAGAATTAGACACCAGCGTGCYCGAAATATCAGTTCAGATCTCCCACCTTTTCACGATTCGTGGAGACCAGTAATGATCAGTTGGATGTACCATGTTGCCGATACATTTCGGTTAATGCCCATTGTAGTTGCCACGGCTGTTTACATTCTAGACACCTGCGCAATGGACATATGGAACGACTCTAGGACCAAGAATCCCCGAGAAATCTATCCGCTCATGAMCATGACTGCTCTTAACATGGCTGTTAAGTGTCACGAAACGAAAATGTTCCCCCTGGATCAGCTAGTGCTGCTTTTGGGTCCAAACGGACGGAACTCGAAGGGAAGGGGATACACTCCTGTGCAGATTTGTTCCATGGAGCGAAAGATTCTACAACGTTGTGGCTGGAAACTCCACAAGCCGACGACTCACGATTATTTGTTGCGCTTTGTTGAGGTATTGGCTAAGGACCAACGCGATGTGGTAAAGGGAGCAGCCGTCATGCATCTGAAGCGAAGCCTATTATGGGAGCACATGGCGCACCAGCAACAAATTGTCTGCCGTCCATTCTCAGACTGTACACTAGCGTACGGTGCCTTTTTGTTGGCAATGGAGGATTGTGGCATCCCTTTGGTGGACAAGCAGTCTGCKTGCYTGGCACTCTTGCACGTCGCAAATTTGTCGGCCCAAACCCCAATGCTTTCTGAAGCATACAACTGGCTGTTGCAGGCACAATCTCTCCAGATGCACCTTGAGCAGGGCAAGACTACCCCCAAGGGACCAGCAACATCTCATACTCCCGCAAACCGTCCAATCGTTGCGGTGCCTGATCACGTKAGTGCCCCGCAACCCAAACCACGGGCTGCCAATCTCGCGGTAGACTTGTTGAGCGACAATAGCGACGCTATGTCTTGTGATACTGCAAGTAGTATGTCTGCTAKGGCACTCGCACCACAACCGACGCACGGAAGCAGCGAGGATGCCGACCTCTTGCTGCTCGASTTTGTCGAAGAAAAGGAGCAACCACGGTCTATGGTCACACAAGATGATGATCCTTTTGCCTCTGAAACACTTGCTGCCGCTGTCGAGCAGAAAGAGGATGAGGATAGTTCAGATGACGATCGGTCAACAAGTCTCATGAGTCAGAGCAGCAATGGSACCTACGACGAGGTCATCTTTTGCTCGTACAGTTCGGACGGGGATGCCTTTGAGGTAATCACCACCGAATATTCCGTTGAAGACGAAGACGATCACTCTGTGACTCGATCGGATGTCAYCATGTCGATTTTGCCCACGGTCATGGAGGAAGATGACTACGAGACAGAAGGGATTTCTGACAACCTTGTCGATGAGGAAAGCGACGACGACGAAGATAGTGACCAAGAGGAAGGTCAAAGGCTTGTTTTGACCGAATCTTTGGATGAAGATGGCTTTGAGGTCGCCATTCGGGGAAAGAACAGCGACGATCATCTATCGGGCATGGTGACGTCTCCAAGAGAAGTTTCCGTTACTATCTAGACTGAAGTTCATACATCAGTTCCTTACCTACATTCGAGAAGAACCACCACCGCAACTACAGCAACACGATATTATTTCCGCACACACGTTCAAGTCGAAAAACACTCCTGATAGAAAAAAGGTTAGTACACCTTGCATACACGAGAAATTACTACAAGTACTATAAAAGCATAAAGATAAATAGACAATACCATGACCAAAAAGTCGAGCTACAGTATCTATCTATGGGCATCCTAGTATTCATGGGTGGATTTCTAAGGATTCACGGAGTTAGTTCTCGGCGGTCGTGGTGGCTGCCGCACCCGAAAGTTCGTGTTTGATGATGTAGTCCAGCGCTCCCTCGATGCAGGCCACCTGCGCAAGGTTGCACTGCTCCGGGGTGGCGTTCTCCGAATCGGGGTAAACCTCGGTAGTGGTTCGGTACGGGGCATCGGTTACCCCCGCACACAATCCGAGCATCCGGTTGGAGGGAATCTTGATGACCCCCTCCTGGGAGATCTTCTCGCCAATGAGGTTTCCATCCGCATCCGCCGGTGCAATGTGGGTAACAGAACGCACTTTTTCGATCATGGCGGTGAACCACTCCGGCTTCATGCTGGTCTCGTCCTGGACCAGGTAAAAGCCGTCGGGGATTTCGCCCGGTTCCGAGGTCTCGCCGTCCCGTGCCGCCTTGGAAGGTCGGAATTCCGTCTCGTCCGTGTCGGTGGTTTCGTGGAGATCCAGGTGACAGATCCACTGGTTGCCATTGAGGTCCTTCATGTCTTCCCGCAGGTACTTGATGAGGGCCGCCGACTCTTCCGTCGCCGCTTCCGGGTTGAACGAGCGCCCCTCTACGATTTCCCCATCCGGATTGAAGGAGCGGTTGGGGTCGACCGCGTACGCATTCCATCGCTGGATCCGTTCGTAGCCCCAGGGGCTGACGCAGGGCGCTACTACGATGTTGAAGTGACTGGAGTATCCCTCTGCCTTGGTTTCGAGAAACATCAGCGCCCCCTCGACTCCGCTGGTTTCGTATCCATGGACCCCGCCAGTAATCAAAAMGCTGGGCTTGTCCTTGGCCCAGTCGCGTGTTCGAACGGCAAAGAGGGGGAAGAACTCGCAGGACTCTGCGTCACTGCTGTCCTTGTAGTGCGGCAAATCACCGTAGTGCGTTACCTCGAAGGCGTCCTTGCGGTCTTCACGGAGTTTTTCTACCCGCGGGATTACGTCTTCGAAGTAGCTGCGCTGCTTCACGCGGGTGTCCCTCCATTCCTTCTTCTCGGCGAGTCCCCAGGGTTTTCCGGCTTCACCGATTGCGAATGCGCTTGTGGTAATGGTGCTCGACATGACGATCGTGGTAAGAATAGCTTTGGCTGCGGTGGAACAAAACATTGCCATGGTACGAAAACAAGAAGGATCGAGTTTGTGCTTGCTCCTGCCAATTTGCCCCTCCAAAATCGTACGCCGTTGAGACCAAGATCGAATTTTGATGCAGCTGGTGCATCGTACAGTACTCGTACCCGTACCGCACCTACCAGATAGATAGATCCAACCCCGGTACATACCGTACGRTACGATTCTCGTAATAGTTCGTTCTCCCACGAACTCGTGCCGGTGATAGTACGGGTACTCGTACTGGTACATACCTTCTCTACAGGTRCGGTGAGTGGGACCGCTAGTGGGAAAACCCTGCAACAGCAACTTCCGATCAGCTCGATCAATCAAAACATACCGTACGTAGATGACGAACACGTACGGTACGTAGCTTAGTAGTAAAGATACGTACCGAATGTGGAAATACAGTAGTTCTTCGTCATCCGTCCCCCYTTACWACCTACTGTACCATACGAAAAACTGCGCCAAAATTTCTTTGAAGCCACGCGGCGGGCAGACTGAACAGAATTYCTAGAAGCCGTTAGGAAAAATCGCCCGCCGCATCCATCACATTCGATTTGATTGGATCGAGATGAATTTGAATTCCAACTGTGATAGCTTGGATTCATTTATGTACCGGTACGAAAACCCTTTTACAGTAAGTACAGGCAGTAAACAACTGTTCTTTTTCCCCTCATGTTKGTGTTCACATCCTTTTTAAATATAACAGTTGTAGACTGTAAAAATTGCTCTGAATTCTGGAAACTTCGTACGAGAACGAATACTTGAAACGCAGGATCAAGAATTTAATTTTCGYCTCATTTCTCCTCCTTTTGAGAAACAAGCCAAACGAAACGACGACGATTGCCTCTGGGTGATTCAAAGCAGAGAAAAGCAAACCGACCCCTCTTGAATCACCCAAGGCAAGAGYCATCATTAAGATGCTTCRAAATTCCCTTGTCAAGGTAATCTTTGTGGTTTCATTGCTATGGCAACTGCTGGGCATGGCTCACTTGAACCATTTCATCGGTGACGCCRTTCGAGAGCTTTCGGAAGAACCGCAACTGGGATATTCGCTTGGTGGCCCTCTCCACAAAACAAAAGAACAGGAGYCAAGCACTGCGAACGAAACAACAAAACCCGATGGTTCTCGATTCAATCCTTCACTTACAAATGAGGGCCAAGCAAGCAGCACAGAAAGAAAGAACTTAGAAGATAGCGATACGCCGGAAATTCATACACGAGTTGGGGGGAAGCCAGGAAACATAACGACTACTGACAGCAKAATCTACTCAACGGAATCTTCGTCGTCGTTCTCGGCCACAAAAGAGAAGTGTTTCGGTTCCAACAGTGACAAATGGATAGCAGGAAACATTTCTTCGAACAACCATGATGGAATCACACCTGAGTTATTAGATACGTTGATGGAGGGGCCCGCACACTTTCAGAAGCTGCCTTGGCTGTTTGACCAAACTATTTGTCACCAAGACAGCCCTCTCCGTAACTTTTCTCCCCAGAACCCAGGTGATCGGGACAGTACAGATTATCTCGCTTCCGTAGAAAATTGGTATCACCGGTTCTTTTACCTTGCCCTCCATTGGAAGTTCCATCGGCCCGCRCTGGACGAATATCGATCTCGAAAAAGTTGCGCAGAAATGGATGCCAGGGACGGCAGTCGTTCTTTGGAATCTTTCATGGACCACCACGGAATTGGAATGATGGATTTCGAATGCAAAGATGMAAAATTCGTGATCATCCCAATGGGCAGCATAGGTTTTGGGGCCTTTCTGAACACGCAGGCTACTCTGAACATTTTACTGGCACTGCACACAAACAGGATTCCGATTTTTTCGTCTCGGTCCTACTTTWCTTGGCAAAAAAGGAATGGTAAACAGGATCCGTGGCTATTGGCCCCTTCGACTTGCAGTCGCAAAGACATGCAGTGTTACTTCTTGCCCACAACCCCCTGCGCAGTTACGGACGAAGATMTTGAAAATGCGCCACTTTATGGCGCCACYCATGAGGAACAAAAGTTTCTAGGGACTTCCGTAACAATACCACCCGAACTGGAGAAAGAACGAATRGTTGTTTTGAATCCGGGATTATCTCGCAAGAGCGCAGATACACCGGGTATGAGGAAGATTGTCCACGAAGTCGTTACAGAACTGTTGGGTGAATGGAGAAAGGCTCAAAGCGAATACGGAGATTCGTCTTGGTCTGATCAAGATTGGGAAGCAATTAATCTGGCACATCARTGGATCATCGAGAAGACCAAAAAGGACCCAGTCGGTCTTCTCCGTCAAGTCTACGTATATATGCTACGGCCAAATCCACATTATAAAGATTTGCTAGAAAAACAGATGTCGACAATTCGAACTGAAGATATGKATCCTTCAGAAACTGTTGGGTTGGCTATTCGTGGATCTGACAAGTGCAAATCAGAGAGCACATGCCTACCTTTTGATCGGTACATGGAACTTGCCACTGACGTTGCATATCCTGGTCTATCATACCCTAGAAACATCAGTTCTGCTGTCGATATCGATCCACGGCCAAAACTTATCGTGACAACTGAAGATCCGAAAATCTACAATGAATCCCTCGTCTATCAACGGAACTCATCCTTCCCATTTCAATTTCTGGTGAATGAAAACGACAACATGCAAGGATCTGGATATCCAAAGGATTTCGCTTCTACCGATAGAGAGAAAACTATCGTGTCGAGCTTGACCGCACTCAAATTCCATTTCAATGCCGGAAAAGTGTATCTGAATTGCTGCAGCAATTTTCATGTTGTGTTGAAATTGTTGCTCCATGGTCAGTGCGGTGCTCGTCGACATGGGCATGATTTCGTCTTCGGCAACTACACTGACGATCACTCTTCGCCAGCTCCTCCTCCMGTAGCACAATGTCTTAGCGAGCCTGGAATTCCCCGAAGGTATCAAATATGTTGCAGTTGGTCCAAAAAGACTGCTACCTGTGGACCGCTTTGGAAAGAATATATCATGGAAAAAGAGAAGAACAATCTCTTGGTGAAAGACAAATATGGTGGAGTAGCAATCGTAGGCTGAACATATCTATGGTAGCAATGATTGCGCAGCAAAGAAAGTCTTTTCCCCTTTGAGCGTCAGTATTCTGACCTGTGGAGATACTGAATGAAACATACAAATGGAAACAAAACACGATTTCTGCGATATGGAGATCGCACTTATTTTATTGTTACAACGGTGTGTCGCACCGWTGGCAGGTGTCGATGTATCGCACTACTAAAGAGATCCGACAGCAGATTCTGCTCGACAAGCCTTTACAGTAAGATGCYCCTCTCTACATTGTTCATGAAAAATGTACACTGTAACACCTGGAAACAAATTTGACCTCGCAAGGAGACACTTTTGAAGCCAAGAACACCACCACGAGTGAGAAAGAAAGTAACATTATGGTTTCATGCTCCTTTCTTGGCAATTTTTTATATTCCAGTTCACTTCGCATTTGCGCTATCTTGTCTTTGTTGACCGTGTCCTTGAGCAACTGTGTCCAAGGTTTATCTGAACTTTCTGTTCAGAAATGAAAAAGTGAAGAGAGCAGAAGTACCTCTAATAACACGAGTCGTGCTAGCTCGTCTTCATTTTTGTAATTGTTCCCGTTTCCCCTTTTCTGTTTTACTCATACGGTACGATTAATATCTACGAGTTCGTAGTACGAGTTTGAAGTCTGTTCGAAGATTTCGAACTACCGGTGTGGTGCGTACGAGTACTCCTACTCAACCATGTACTTGTACCGTCGTATAGTACATGCTGATCATAATGATTATGAGCCGAGGCCTCCGTTGTTACTGCACAAGTACAGCGCTGTACTTCGTACGGTATGTATTTCTACTAAGTATGTATGAGAAACCTACTGCTTGTACTACTGACTTACCGGTATGAGAAACTGGCTCATTGGGTCATTCCCGTTATTCTAAATCTCTAAAACTCTAATCTAGAGATCTAGAGTAACGGGAATCAAGACATTCAACGGAAAGACTGAGAGGATGCCAGCTCGATGCCAGTCTTTTCCGGAATTTGGAATCTTAACTACTATACTCTAAAAATAGGCCTGCGTGCTGACTAAAAAGAGGCACAAATTTTCGATACGTGTGTTAAGTCTTTCAAGGGACGACTGGAAAGTATTTTATTCATGGGTTCCACTCTAAATCTAGAGATTTAGGACCGGTCCTAAATGTGCTAAATCTAGAGTCAAAAACTCTAAATTCTGATGGACTGACAGACCAAAAATTTAGAGATCTAGAATAACGGGAATCACCCATTGTTTCATACTCGTGTTCAATTATAGTACGAAAATCCGTACAGGATCCAGTACGATCCTAAGGTAGGTCCCGGACCTCACCAAGTCTAGAAGGAAGAAGAACGTCGTACATTGTCTCATAGTGAGACCTTTAAGTATGATTATGAAGGCGTTAATTAAAGAGTTTGTGTTCCCTCTGTGTGCTCAACTACTTTTTACTTCGTGTCGTTTCCAATAATTCAATGTTTAGTAGTGGTCTCACAAGAACGTTCTTGCAAATTGCCCACCAGATACATTAATGGATTTTGATATCGGGAAAATATCAAAAGAAAAATCTTCCATTTTCTGTTCCGTTGAATATTTTTCTGAACTTATCAAACAGGTCCAAATGATCTTTATTGCAAGAATGTTATTCTTTGTTACGCTATCAGTTTATCCGCTTTCGTTTAACCTGTTGAACGAGAATTCGCGCCGTATCAGATATTTGAAGCGTGTTGAAAAATTCGCTTGCCTGAATTCGGCGAGGACGAAAGTGCATGGAACAGCATGTTTTCTTGGCATTGCTGCCAAGATGAATAGGAAGGGAAGCATTTCGTAAGCGTTCCTGTGATACTGTTTGTGCTCGTGTATATCAGTTGACGAAGACGTTTCGTTCGCAGATTGGGATTTCGAGGAGGTGCTTAGTTTAAAACGAAAAAGGAATTAGATATTGCTATTGTACAGTAGTTTGTAAGCTATCCTATCGACTCATCATGCGAACACTTTGCAGACATGTATCGACATGTCGACTGGAGGTTTGAACGGATTTCAAAACTTGATTGACACGGGTATATTCTCGGTTGTTGTAGTCCTGTTGCCGCTGTAGTCCGTGTGAATCATTGCCGTCTTGCATTGTTTGCAGGGGGATGCTGAGAGACTTTCTGGTTCGATTGCTACGTGCCATACTAATGGACAATTTCTGTAGTGTATCTAGATACATCTGGTCCATGCCTTCGGCACACGGAAGCAGAGAATCTTTGTGGAGGGAACGGGGCATGCTGCCGTTGTTTATGTCCATGAGCTGTTTCGTCATAATCTTGCGCATTTGTTGAAAAGCGGGCCTAGTGGATGCCGACGGCATGGAGAGACTGCTGCTGAATATGGGAGACAATGCCATGTCTTGTGCGACACACGTGGGGGAATCCAGCGATCCAAAAGGAAGAGTAGACGAAAGACTCGCCTTGCTTGTAACGGGCGACAAGTAGGTATTCATATTGTTGCTGGCAGTGTCGTCGCAGCTCATCATATTGATGTCTTCGTCATCTTCCAGGGAAGCATTTCTCAAGTTATCTACAGTCGCGTTGAGGAATCCATCGACGTCGTAGATGGAATCAGAATATGGGTGGCCGTTGTAGTTCTGTATGTGTTCTGTGGAGGCGCCGTCTTCGACATCAATGTCCATCAAATCGTCGAAGGATATTTCGCTATCGTCTTTCGAATCAGCAACGGCTTCCAAGTCCGCAAATAGATCGTCGCCGTCGACATTCACTTCGAAGAAATTTGGCAGTTGTTGATCGCCATTGGTAGTTACAGCACAATCCGATGAGGATTCAGAGACCCGGGTATAGGAATCATGTGCAGTTTTTGTCTTGTGAGATTCGTTTCGAGAACAAATGCGCTGGAAGTAAAATATTCCACCTTCTTGACTCTCGCTCGGAGAGGAGTCAAAGATCTTTGACGACTTCGTTTTCTTCACTTGAACATCGGAATCGACAACAAAATCTTGTGTTTTCTTGCTGGATGGAACTCGTTCGAACCTCCAGTTGGAGATCCATTCTGTCTCGGTCTTGCTAGATGGTACTCGTTCGAACCTCCAGTTGGAGATCCATTCAGTCTCAGTTGTTGCCGGGATAGAGGCAACATTTGATTTGGCGGCGTCTGGTTTACATGGGTTCTTTTCGGCAGTGCTACCAGAGTTGCTATCTTTGGATATCGTCGGCGTCGAAGACACATCTTTCAACAACCGACGTTGCTTTTCCACCAGACCTAAGTAGTCTAGGGGAGCTTGAGAAGTACATTGCTCTTCAATTCGCGACATGATTTACAGGACACCTTGGATTTTCTTGGTGATATGAGAGGAAGTGCAGTATTACACAGAGCTGGATCGCGTAGTTCACTAAGAGAGTACGGCACAAACTCGTTTGAGGAAGATATCATGAATTTTTATGCCAAGAAAAGCGAACCGCACAAAAGGATTGATCGAAATATTTCCACAAATTGCACGATACGTGGTGGATGAATTCGAAAGAAAATTATCATAGGGTGGTACGTATGTACGGCCTTATAGATGTTCCCTGGATTTTTATTGGCAGGTAGTAMATCGATGTTGTCATCGAATGCACATGTTGTTAATGGTTGGCTATTGTATGAAAAAAAAAAATCCCCAAGAGTCATTGAAACGCTAATGTTCAAGACCGTTTCAGGCTACTATCCCGGTAAACAATAAATCCTAATTTTTCATTATTGCCATTGCCGCCTTTAGAGTACTTTTTATTTAATGAAAGCCACCAATTTTTTTTTATCGCTGAAGTAGATTTCGCCATCGATAAAACAATATCATGATAATAGTGAATTATCTCGGTGGTACTTAGTTTCTTGGGGGTATATTAAAATTCTCTCACAAGACTAAGATTCACGTGTAGGAACGAATTGGATTCTCTTGGAGCCCCATAGTTGATGCTAGAGAAAAACGAAGAACAAAACGATGCAAAAAAAGTACGTAATTCTTGAACCGTACAACCTATGATTTTTTAGTTAACGGAAAGAAACTATGCGACAATAATCAAACGCAACTGCTTGTTCTTTACAGTGMTGTTTCCAATGCCGTTCTGAAGTATKGGTCGGAATTTATTAGGATTACTTCGTGAAGTATAGTACGTAGTATTTTCGTTCCTCCAATAGAATCTCCATCCCAAACCCAGGCAGTGATATTTGTTGGTAGCACTTACTTATTCCTTGCCTGGGTTTCCTGAAATCCGTTGGGCAGCTGCAGAAGAAATACATCGTAATGCCCAGCGTCACGGAAGTGCTGCAGAACATGATGACAAACTCGGTTTTTTTATCATCTTTCTCCCACAATAGCGAGAAACTCGCTTCTCTCCGTGTGCCATAACCAAACGACATGTTGTGCCGTCTTGCGACTTGGCACGCACGTGTCGCTGCAAGGCAGACATCCGACGGCTTCCACGGTGCGAAACAATACGTACTCGTACTCGTACCTGCCGTTCCAAACGATGCATGCAACATGCAACATGCAATGAACAGACGTTCGTGTTGCCCTTGGCGCAACACCACTAGCCACCGTCCAAACTAAACAGTCCAGCCCTGTGCGGGTGCGTTGCTTCGGCAGTAGCAGTCACGYCGCGTCCGACTCGCTCGTTTTGTTTGTTTGCCTGCATCCGAGCGTCCGGAGGCACCAGAGAAGGTCGCGTTCGCACCGGTAACTTCCCCATCACGCCAACGGATCGACGACAACCAACCGGTCGAGTGTAGAACAGTACAATGCAACAGAATATAATAGAATAGAATGCAATAGAATAGAATACAACAAACGGCACTATAGACGGCCCGGGGACCCTGTGGACTGTTCGTTGTCGCACGCAATAGTTCGTACGGTACTACAGCTATCGCAGGAAGCCCGCGTTCGCACCGGCAGGATGCCGACCGTGGCAAAGGGTGGATGGCAACAAACCGTCCGAGTGCAGTACAGTACAATGCAATACAATAGAACAGACGACCCAGGAACTCTGTGCACTGTTCGTTGTTGGACGCAGTAGTTGGTAGAGTACTATACAGTAATACACAGCTATCGAACTTTGTTGGGCATCCGCTGGACCGGACCGAAGCGAACCGGAGCAGATGGCAACCGTGCGGCATTGTTGGCACGGCGCATTCGCGCAACAGTGGATTTCTGTTCCACACTCCGAACCAGAAAYGCTCGTACCCTGTTCGTCTGCCGTGTAGATTGATCTGTAATCGCGTCTCCACAACGTAGTGGGTGGTTTTCTTTGCTATAGTGTGGGTTTGTACAAACGCAGCGCCGGATGGTTGACCACCGCTCCCGTGGTACTGCTGTGCTCGCCAGACTTCCTTCTCGGGACGGCCACCGATGGTAGAAAGCGGTTGGGGGAATATCGGGTCTCGTTACGTTACGTTTCGTTTCGTTCCCTTTCCTTCCACCACCAAACAAGACGGGAGAGCCCGTTTGTTCTGGAAGGTGCCACTCCACGAGGAACAGAATTGGGTCCTCTCTGGGAGCCTTCTTTCTCGGCTCTTCGGTGCTCCTCACCTCCGCGCTGCTGTACGGTGCCGTGGCAGAGAAGACCCGCAGGCATCCGTGCGGCAGGTGCTGTGCTCCGGCACCGGCCTCCCCGTGCTRCAAGGCAAGCCTGCTACAGCTCCCCGGCTTCCCTCCCCCCGGACCGGAGCAGCAGGACCCCGAGGCCAGCAAGGGCCGAGCCGGCCACCAGCGCCAGCAGCAGCAYCAGGGGGACCCGCAMSGCCGCCGCCAGCAGTCCCACCTGGTAGGCCTCGGGCGTCCAGAAGCGSAGGCCGACSGAGTTGTGGGCGGCCTCGACCCKGGCAAAGCCCTCGGGGTCCCASAGGCTCGCCAGGGCGGCAATGTAGGGCGGGGTGATCGACTTTTTGACGTCCTCCGCGGACCGGTCGGCGGGCCGGACAAAGGACCCGGGCTTGGTCCGGCCGACATCGATGCGGTCGGGCGCGTGGGTTCCCGGGACCACCGCGACTTCGTCCCCGACCTGGATGGTCGTGCCCCCGGGGGCGGTTTTGGAACGGGGGGGGAGGACCTCGCAGCTGATCCCCGAGACGCCCCACAGGTTGTTCGTGAGGCCGCTGCGCTTGCAGGCGGCCTCCCGGTACCGGCAGGGGACGCACCGGCGGTGGACAAAGACCCTTCCCTCCCTTCCGATCGCCACCTCGTGGCCGACCATGGCGTTGAGGGCCTCCGCGGAAATTCCCGAGAGGACCAGGTTCCTCCGCAGGTCCGAGCAGGGCCCGGAGGGATCCCCGAGCGGGGCCATGCCCGTCCGGGAAAAGGCCTCTGCGATGCCCTCGGAGGACACCATGGTGAGGTTCCGCCCGGGTTCCGACAGGAACCTCGCCGAGTAGGTCCCGGTCCTGGYGGCGTAGCGGTCCCCGTCGATCCCCCTGCCGGGAAGGAGCACCACGGACTGCCTCGATTCCATCGGCGCCGCCGAGCGCCGGGAAACGTAGATCTTCTCGATGGTGGCGGTGGTGGCAACCGTTGCCGCTGGCGTTTCGGTTGTTTCGGGTGTGGGTGCCATAGTGTGGTGTGGTGTAGTGTGGTGTGGGGTCTTGCGCGCGCCGTGTCTTGTTGTTATTATCTTGTGGAGCAAGGGTGCTGTGCTGCAGCTTGGAGCAAGCGAGGGGATGCTACGGTAGGAATGGACGTGTTTCCTGGGACGCGATGGGATTTATTGCATTGAATATATAATATATATTGATTGCCTGTTTTGCAACATAGCACGACGAGTTACGTACGGTACGTAGTAYGTACGGTACGGAGGAGGGAGGGAAACCCGTTTTCAAAAATTCAAAAAACTACGGCACAAACCGCACGATACATGGAGTACGACTATCGTACGTACGAGTACTCGTACTAGTGCGTCAACGGGGTGGTTTCTGTTTTTGCGACTCCTTCGATTCGATTCCAGATCCTCCGCGCGTATCGTACGCGCGATCGATAGAGGCGTTGCCGGGTGTGGATTGGTTGATGTGTTGATGTGTGGGTGTGTGGGTGTGTGGATGGATTCTTTGATTCTTTGATTCTTTGATTCGGTGTTTGTTTGATTGTGTGTTGCCGGCCAACGACAACAAACAATCTGTCTGTCAGCAGACACAACGATGCTCTGCTCTGCGTTGCTTCGAGATCTAGAACACGGGACCGCAGCGTGACGCTCTTTCGAGGACGACTGCTGGGGTGATTCGATTGGGAAGGACTTCTCCGGTTGGTTGGCGACTGCACGATTCCAGAACAAAGGCCATTGAACAACAACCAAGACACCCTGCAGCGAAAGCCTTGCGTTGTGTTGCGTTGCGTTTGCCATGGGATTCTCTTTCCTCCATCGCCGCGTGCACACGGCGAACTCGGCGTGTGGCGATCSTTCGCCCTTTCCAAACGCAGCGCTCCGTGCCGCATTGCGGGTGCTGGCCGTGCTAGGGGTCCTCGCATCCGCAACCGATGTTCCGACCGCCGGGCGCTTTGGAAGGGTCCTTCTTCCCCTTCTCGCCGCGCCGGTGGCGGTTCTGGCCTTTCCGGTGCCCCGGGCGGTGGCCTTTCGTTCGCGGACCATGCGTGCGAGYGGACCGGGGGTTTCCCTGCGCCTTTTGGAGGCTTCGCCGGAGACCGAGGCGCTGTACGAGGAGCTCCACCGCGAGATCGAGGCCGTCGCCCGCGGGCTGTGGGGGGGGAGGGAGATCCCCTGCCTCGCGCCGCTTCCTCACCCGGGCGGGGAGGGCCTTCCGCCCGGGTCGTGCTCGGACCTCTGGATCGAGGGCGAGGCCGAGCTCCCMRGGGGGCTCTCCTTCTCGGAGCGGGGACCCTGCTTCCGGGAGATGGCCCTGGGGGGATGCCCCTCGGCCCAGCACTCGTAYGGACTGCTGCTGTGGAGCGGCTTTGCGGARCCMCTCGTGCCGAGGGACCCGGAAGCCTCCGCCCTCTTCCACGCCGCCGCGGCCCGCCAGCACCACCTCGACGCGATCGCCGTCCTCGGGGGCTGCCTCCGCACCGGGACCGGGATCCCCCAGAGAACCAAGAAACAAACGAAACAGCAAAGAAAGGCCCACCGGAAGCAACAAGAGGCCCTCGGCCTGCGCCTCATCCGGTTTTCCGCGGAAGCGGGCAACCCCTCCGGGACCAACAAGCGGGCCGCCCTGCTGGAGGCCGCYGGCGACGAGAGGGGGGCGGTGGACCTCTGCGAGGCGTGTCTGGCCAGCGGCAGGGCCAGCGCCCTCCTCCTATTCAACCTGGGCTGGTCCTGCCGCCACGGCATCGGGGTGGACCGGAAGGACCCTTCCAGGGGCGTCGCCCTGTGGAAGGAGGCCGCTTCCATGGCCCCCGAYGAGGGCAGCGAGGAGGCGGCCTGGCACCTGTGCTCGGAGTTCGCCCGGGAGGACCCGGCCGAGGCCGAAAAGTGGCGACGCCTTTCGGACGAGCTGGGCTTTCGCGAGTAGCAACAGCAAGCACAGTACAGTAGTAACGAACCGCAAGGAACCTTCTGGCGGCCGTCCGTCCAGTGGTGGCCTCGGGATAGAACACGTTGTTCTTTTGCAACCACGGATTGCACTTTGTGGAATGTAAGAAGGTCGATCCACCATGTTCTGGTCTTTTCGTTGCCGGTGTTTGCTATTGTTGCACAGCAGAACACAACACAAACAATSCTCCTCCTGCTTCCTGGACACCAACACCGATGGAATGCTGCAAGCCCTGGACGGACGGACGGACGGACGTGCAAAGCATCCCCGAGGCGCACCCGCGATTCCCGATCGAAATTCGATTCGATCGGCCCCTCGATTGGATTGCTCGTTCGGGGGTTGGAGCCAGTGCATGCCATGGCTTTTATTGGGGCAGGGCGGTGCGGTGCGGTACGGCAGGGCACGGCGTTTCCCGCGGTTGGCGGAAATCTGCTTCCTGCGTGCAGTTCGCCCTTTCTTCCTCGCTCTTTTTCTCGGCAGCAAACCGATCATGAATKTCGCTATGCTTTCGTTCCAATATCTAGTAGTAGAARTAGTGCGTTGCGGTAGTTCCATAGCTAGACGATTTGTGCGTGAACTAAACACGAATTCTTGGGCCTTCTTACAGAGGTTTCGTTCTATTACTAGATACTACTAGTATTGMTAGTCTAGAGCATGATTTGACTTTCTGAAGAGTTACCGTATGAGGAGAAACAAATGGAGGGCCCAAGGCCCAAATGACTGCCTCTCGTACGGTACATACGTACATACTCTAGAAAACTGTACTGTRCTTGATCTGCTAGGGTACGGTACATACGCACTGTACGATCTATTTTTTCCGTTGCGGTTTTGGTCGAGTGCAATGCCCTCTCAATCAAAAGAATTGCCCATCTCAGTTGTCGGTCATTCGAGGAAGACTCATACTGTACTTTTGCTAAGCATTTCCTTGAAAAGACATTCGTTGACATTTTTCATCTTTCCTCCTCTCAAAGAAATGCGAATAGCAATCTTCACCAAATCAATCGTGTGCGGTTAATTCTACTTTTCGTAACTTTCAAGCTGATTCAAATCGAAGCAAAGATTCAGTAAATCCCACACGAAAACACTCTTCTGTATTGATCGGGAAATCGAATCACCCTCACCGGATCCAATCSAATCCAATCCAATCCAATCCAAAAGACGCGAGCCGATAAATCAGACCGTACGAAGCGCAATGGATGCCGGGGAACAAACAAAGCGCAGGATTTTGGTATGTTGCTTCGGCTCGAGGGGCGACGTTCAGCCCTTTGCGGCCCTGGCCCGGGGATTGCAGGATTACCAAGAGGGCAGTGTGCGCTTCGAGGTGCTGGGCATCACCAACGTCAACGACGGCGTGTCCATCTTTCGGAGCCTGGGGGTAAAGGCGGAGGGGGTGCACTTTGACATGGCGAAAATGATCCGCGAGAATCCAAAGATGAAAAACGCGATGGAAACCGGGAACGCCGTGGCCTTTGGAGCCTTCATGAGCAAGCAGTTCGTCCGCCACTTTCCGAAAGAATTTTCGGAGCAGTGGAAGATCGCAAGGGACTTTCGACCGGACATGATCCTGGGTACAACCATRATGTGGTTMCAGGCCTCGGCCATCGGCCAGGCACTRAAGGTGCCGGTCTTCCATGCGGATCTCGGGCCCTTTAGTTTCTTGCCCATCAGCAGGGCAACCCAAACCGAAATGCACGAGCCGCAATGCTTGCACAGGTTTATGTCGTTTCTCATGGTGTGCAGCATGAGCATGGTTTTGAATATGAAGAACGAGGAAGGAGATTCCTTGCTTGGGACGATGCACAAGGAATTGGTTGCCGGTGGACCTGGTGCTGGTCCCAATGCCGTCCCCGAGTCGGAGCGGCTGCTGGGAGAAAACGGTGCGGGGCAATTCGCCCGGGAGTGGATGAACCCGCTGGCTCCCAACTTGTTTGCCATCTCCGATTCGATCCTCCCAAAATCTAAGTTCGACGACCTGCCGCCGATCTATGCCGAACGGAGTGTATGGACGGGCAACTGGTACGTCTCGAAAGCGATCCAGGAAGAATTGGCTCGGACTGGGGATCCAAACTTTTCGAACAATACCAAGGGAGTCGACGTGCAGAAGACTGTGCTCGAGTTTATCGAAGACCAGCAACGATATGGAACAGATTTGTTGTGTTCGCAACCGGCGTACATCGGGTGGGGATCGATGGTTGCCGTCTCGCCCGAACACATGACTCGATTGGCGATCGAGAGCCTGAAACTCGCGGGGCTGTCGGGTATTGTTCTGGGAGGATTTGCCAAGCTGAATCCAGACATGCTGGACAAGGAACAGGACAGGGATCTCTGCGACTACGCCGAGAAGCACGTTCTGTTTTTGCAATCGGCCCCCCACGAGTGGCTGTTCCCAAGGTGCTGCGTGACGGTCCACCACGGTGGAGCGGGYACCACCGCGGCTGCCTTTCGRTCGGGTGTCCCGACCATTGTGACACCCTGTATCGCCGATCAGTACGATAACGCATCCCTGATTGAAGATTCCGGCTGCGGGGTCGGTTTCCAAAAGCCCCTCCGAAAGATCAAGGCAAAGGAGCTGGCAGATGTCCTGGTGCGGTGTTCTTCTAGTAGCAGTGAGGCTGAGAACGGCAACCRGAAKGTCGACACCATTCGCTCYAAATGCAAACAGGTTGCGGCGGAGCTCGGGAAGGAAGATGGGATTCTGAATGCGATTCGGGTGATTGAAGACTTTGTGATCAAGCGACTCGACTCGGGGACGTGGAAGCAAGAATACGAGGCCCGGCTTCAGCAGCGGATCGAAACTCCCTGGAGTTTTTTTCGTGCTTTGTACCGCATGCTGATTTACAAAGACCCATTTGTCGAAGAGTAGAAGTAGTGGGGGTTGCCTTGTGGTGTTCGTCTTGGTACTGTATTACTCACATTGTAATGAACTAATGGACTACTAATATCRCTGTCTTTTCGAGGTTAATAATGAGTCATTTTCCAAGATCCTACAGTATTACCTATTCATAAATTCAGTCTTAAGTCATTAAACTACTATCTAGTCAGGAGTGAGAAAAAAACTAGACTAGGAAAATTATTCAGGCTATGCAACATTCAGGAATAGGACACAGTAGCAGAATTTTAGAATGCAACAAATGCAATGTGCTGCACTGAGCCAAAATATAATGTCAAAACTCCACCTTTTGCAATTTCAAATGGATTAGTTTTAGGTCATTGCTCAGAAGTTGAAACAAAGAGCGAGGTTGAGCAAGAAGATAGGTTGTGTTTCCCTCACTCTCATGTATTGATTACCTACTTAGTCTTGATGGTTTTKAGAKAAATTTGAGATCTAGTTTTGGATTTTAATAAAGCTCAAGAGGTTTGCATTGCAATCTTGAAATCTTGTTTTTGTAATTATCTGCACAGGCAAGAGAAGCTAATAGAAGTTTTTGTTTATGATTTCTGCATTAAATGGCTCCACTATTGCAATGACCAAAGTAATGAACAAAAACGAACAACAAAGATGTGATGAGTTGGGTGGTCAACTCAACACCATATAAAAATCACTTTCAGAGTTTCAACACGTGAGAATACTCCATTGGATAGTTTCAAAATTTCTTTGGAGCAAGGCATCACAATGAAATGGTAAGAACATTAATGATTAATAAGATACCAATAACCACTTCATGGCAGCAGTGGAAAAACATGCCAAAACTGATATGCTAAAACTACAATGCTTTGCTTTGTTCCAATGTGAATGAGAAAATTCAAATTTTGTAAAATTGAAGCTCTGTCATCAAAATCACCAGCTAGAAAATTACAAGGATTGTCATACTATTAGTAGCGAACTTAATGTTGGAAGGGAGAAAAGAAGATATTCTAGAAAAAGCAACACAAAATCCTTTGAGAGGTAGGTGCTATTCTCAAACTAATGATAAAAGCGTTAGTAGTTCTAGTTCATTCACACAGATTTTKCTGATATCATGATGGACATAAGACATCATCAAGGTCAGATTCAGTTTACACCACCAGATAGACACAAGAAGTCAATGATAAGTGTGCACCTTTCTGACATTTCAATCATCCCATAATATCAAGGAGGTTCCTCACACTAGAAGCATGGAATGTCACAAAGAATACCACTGCTGAAAGCACCCCAAGTACTAGTATCACCAGCAGATTCTGGTGCAATTGTTTCACCTCCTCCTCATAATGCAGGTTCAGGTATCCCTTKTTCCTCTTTACATGATAGACACCATCATACCACAAAACCAAACAGGAAGCTGCCAAGAAGACTATTGTATCAATTTTTCAATACAAGTTTTTATGTTGTCACCAAAAGAGACCAATGATGTGGAAGTTAGCTAGCTATCAAAAACCCTATTACATGTACTGGAAGCTTTGCAGTTCTAGTAGAAAAAGAAAGACATTATGCAAAATTGAATTTTCAAAATGATAAGGACCCAGTAAATGTATTTGGCCACGACCACTTTGCAATAAATTGGGAGTGAATGTTTCAGCAGAACTCTTGCTGTCATAGGATGCATCATGACTAGTAGAACAGCAGCAGCCAATCATGCAAATGAACAGACAAACCTTTTTGCTGGYGTCTAAATTGTCACAAGTTGAAATAATCACTGAAGTAGTTCAAGGATTCTTGCAAACCCTTCAGATGAACTCCCAGAAAACATTTATCCTCCTTGCTATCCACCAACATAGACGAATGCACAGGTGATATACAATTGATGATGATACATTTTCTGCCTTTCTCAAAACAAAAAATCTCCATATCACACTAGTATGATTTTCAGGACTGCAGCTCCTCAGGGTGACTAGCAGCAAAAACCTTCTTCTCTATAGAAGTAATGGTTCACGCCTTCCTAGTACTAGTAGTGGTGGTGGTGCCTTGTCTAGGAGTCCAGAAGGTGAAAATAATGCTAAGGTTTACTGCTGAAAGAGCTTCATGCCTAAACTCCAGAAAAAAAAGGTTCAAGTCTAAAACTTCAGATTATTGGACCAAGAGTACATAGAGAGGACATAATGCTGGCTTTTCAGAAATACTGCTTGCTAGTTTCTCTCCCATGAGATGTTGTTGATATCATTGTCAGAAGTGGGACCACCAGATCTCATTGCAAAAGGATTGATCTAATGCTTGAAAAATTGTATGTCAGAATTGTATGTAATAGAAGCATCTGTCATGCTGAACAACAATATGATAGATGTTGAAAAATCTAAAGGAAATGGAGCCATGAATGTCATGTTGTGTTGTGTATTAGTAGTCTACTAGTAGTAGCTACATAGTTTATGTTTTTTCTCTTGTTAAGAAGTAGTAGTGGTAAGAAAGATCAGCCCTCCTCACACTTCTTACTCCCACTCTATATGTTCAAAACAGTACAGCAATAGTTGTAGAATCCACATAAACCCCAGTATCCCATTTTTTGCACTCAAATTCTCGTATTACCTTTACATTAAACAGAACGTTCATTTTAAAGTCATTTTTAAACACTCATATTACTAGCACAAACATCACAGCATTTAGGACAACAAGTATGGATAGTAAAATGCAAAAGTTACCAACATGTTTCTCACCATTGTGCTTTCTGCCTCACTCCTGTTMCTATGATGCTATGACAAAACTATAATGGGGGCAAACCACCACCTTTTGCAATTATATTACTTTAATTACTTACAGGTGATTGACCAGCAGAACATCTAACAAAGTCAAAAGTAGAAGTAGAACTGGCTTTTGTTTCAAGAGCAATGATTAATAATCATTGGTTTTTTACACAGTAGGTGTGCAAAAAAGCTCTCAAAAATTTTACATTGTGTACTGGTGGAAGCTTGGAAAATATCAGACATCATGCAAAGTTTGATTTTCAAAATGATAGTAGGGACCAGGAAAATGGACTTAGCTAGAGTGTCGTTGCTACTTGAAAATCTTTGAATTGATTGATTAAAGAAAAGAGAGGAGATTCCAAGGGAAGATTGGTAATTGTGGCAACATGTACATACTGCTACTACTAGTAGATCTCAATGGAACTAKKAWSAAYAAWRARYAGYWSWTC